TGCATGCAGGCTATGGATGAGCAGTCTGGCCCACCGCAAGTTCCCTACACATATACATGTTGTACACAAGTAGTGCAAAGCAGCTGATGTGGGGATAGCAGTGCAATCTCATGTCCCTTTTTTATGCATTGAGTATACATGCTTTGACATCTGGAGAGCCAGCAAGGTGGAGTAATAGTTACAATATGCCTTTTCATTTAGGCAATTGTTTTAAGGGCAATGCTTCCTGATGCCTGAGATATTTTGCTTTTTAAAATAGTGTATTTGTTTGAGTATGCACAAAATTATTTCTAAGTATTTTCTTATGGGCATGTTCTGAAGACTGATGGTTATGACAATAACAAACAAGCTCTGTCCAGCTGTCAGACACAGTTATGAACGCATGCTGAAGAGCATAACTCTCCAAACCCTCTGTCCTTGCTTTGTGGTGATTATTTCTGGAAAGCAAAAGGAGATGAAGCCAGAGACCTTGTTACCTGGCTGAGGAATACACACCAGATTTATGGACAACTCTATCCAGATTCTCTCAATCATGGGTGAGGGAAAGGGTATCTCCAGATGTTATGGACTTCATCTCCCACTATTCCTGACCATTGGCCTTGCTGGAAAGGGACTTCTGAGATTTGAAGTCCAAAATATCTGGAGATCTTTTTTCTGGTCACCTGAGCACTAAATCGTCACACTACCCCTCCCTTCCCCAACCTGGTGTGCTGCAGATGTGTTGGACTGTACTTTCCAGCATCACCTAGCTGGGAATTACACACAGAGAGAAGAACAGGGTGTCAAGTCAAAGGCTCAAAAATTAACTCAGGTCTATAGTTGTGCATATCTCAAAACTTGGCCCTTTCCAGATTCTTTTGAAGTACCAGCACATAAGTCAACACTTTCTTTTAGAAATGAAATCTATTTAATTATAGAGGGCCTATTTTTTTTTTAAAAAAAGGGTTCTTTGCTTAAAGGTCATCACAGCTTTACAATAAACATTTTCAAGGTGGCTTGCATAAAGCATCTGTTAAAATGGCAATACAGCAAATAACAGCTTTACAAATAAAGCTAACATAAAACACCAGTAAAACAGAAGAACTGTAAATTAGCAATAGTTATTATTTTGGCCTAGTGAAAAGCCTGGGCAAATAAATAAGAAAGGTCATGGCAATAGTGCCTGAAATTCCTAAAACTAGGCACCAGATGAGCAACCCTGGGGTGAATATTCTAGATTTGGGGTGTCACCACTTATCTCCTCCCTGACAACAGGAACACACAGAGAGAGGCCTCTGGTTATTATTAACACACAATCCATTAATGTGGAAAGTCATGGTCCCTCAGACTCCTAAGTGAACATAGGGTGAATATACTGAGAGATACTGGAAGGATTTTGGTCAAGGTTAATCACTGCTGGTTACCAGCCATGGTTACCAGTCATGGTAGCTAAATGGAACCTCAGTGTCCAGAGGCAGTGTACCTCAAAATACCAGCTGCTGGAGAAAAGTATAGGAGGAGGCTGTTGCCTTCCTGCCCTGTTGATGGTTTCTATTTTATTTTATTCTTTTTAATTTCTATACCATCCAACAGCCAAAGCTCTCCAGGTGGTTCACAAAGCACAAGCCACTGTTGGAAGCTGGATGCCGGACTAGATGCGCCCCTCAACCTCATCCAGCAGGACTGTTATTAAGGAGACAGATGGGTCCCATTCCCTGACACGCGATGTTCCTTGAGCAAGTTCCAGCCTTTCTTTCCCTTCCTACACACTAGAGGCTGAGTCACCTGAAACTTTTGGGCATGAATGTGTGCCCTTGCATTTCAGTGCAGCCCTCTGTCATGTGGCCTTGCACGTGCAGGGCACCACCCAGCCATCATGGGCACGGTCCACATGATGCCTCTAACACGGGAGCTGCAATATGATCCAGTTGGGGGGAAAGACCATCATTACTCTGAGAGCTCCTGCAGTTCGTTGATCGGTCACCCAGACTTGCTCTGAAACTGTTGGGCTGGGGTTTGACCAAAGCTCCTTAGCATTAGCCTCACTTCTTTGTCTGCCAATGCAATTGTTTCCCAAACCCATTTGGAATTAATAAGGGGTAGGTGGGGATAAACGGCAAAGGTATTTTCATAGAAGCCCAGAAATGTTTTTTGGATTCTCCATGCCTGTAATGCAGACACATGCACTTGGTCCGAATGCACATGCACTTTTAACACACACGTTTTTGCTTTTTAATGTACATTAGCACATCAGTTGTTAAAACAAATTAGCACCACCTTCACACATGCACTAAAGAGGTTCCAAGGCATCATTCATGAACATGCTTGTAGGCAGGCATTTGGAATCAGAACATAAGAATACAAGAAGAGCCATGCTGGATCAGACCAAAGTCTTACCCAGTTCAGCATTTTATTCTCACAATGGTTAACCAAATGCTGCCCTTGCAACACCCACAAGCTGGGCCTGAGAGCAGTGGAACCCTCCCACTCGTGTTCCTAGCCACTGATAAGCGGCAACACACTGCCTCTGATACGGGACGTAGTATATAACCATCAGGATAGGTAGCCAACAATCATCCTTCCTCTCGGAATTTGTCTAAGTATCTTTCAACACCCTTCAAATTGCTAGCCATCAAATCTTGTGGAAGTGAACACAATTAGCAACACACTGTGTGAAGAAACACTTTCTTTAATCTATCCTACTAACTCTCATTGCATGACCCTGGGTTCTATCATAAGGAAACACCTACTACACAATGCAAAATTTTATGCAACTCTCTTAAGCCCTCCCATCCACATCTTTTCTAAATCAAAAGTTCCAAATGTCATAACATTTCTTCATCAGGGAATTGCTGAAGTCCTTTAAAAGTTTTGGATATCTTTTCCTGCATTTTTCTAGCTTTTTGCAGTATCCTTTTTGTGATGCACTGAGCATAACTGTATACATCTCTCCAACAAGAATCTGAGTTGAACTCCTATCTCTTTAAAAGAAAAATCCCATCATTTCTTTTAATTCAGTGTGCAACCCATAGGCAGTACAATGGGATCCCAAGCTTTAGTGGAATATTCATATATATCACACAGTAATGATCTGCCAAAGTAGGAGATTGCCAGTTATTCCTACAGCAGGCTAAATAATTACCCATTAGGATCTGGAGACAGGGACCATCTGTCTCCAACCTGGTGCCCTATAGATATGTTGGACTACAACTTTGACCATCCATAACTGGGCATGATGAATGTTACAGTCCTGCACATCTGCAAGGTACCAGGTTAGACAAGGTTGGCCTGACTGGTTTAGAACTGAGGAGAAAGCTTAACAGGGCCACTTAGCTTACCCTGGGGGCAAAATGAACTATATCTTTATCAAAATCAAGTTTCGTTCTCTTTATTGAACGTGCACCGAAAGAAGCCTCCTCTCAATGGAAACATGTTGAAATAGACCACACCTAGGGAAAGCTGCATTCCTTCAGGCAGCATGCAAGTCTGTTCAAAGAAAATTTTTCTACCATTGATAGATGGATAGATAGGTAAATTGCTAATAACAAATAATACGCTTTTAAAGCATAATACTGCTGCTATTAACCAATGCCTTTTTTGCACATGGGTCTAAGGTTGCAATCCTATGCATGCCCAGCCAGAAGAATGCCCCACTTAACACTCTACTTTTGAGTAGATCAGGCTGTAATACAATACTAGAAATGTTTTCTCATTTTATCCACCACTGGAATGCAGCTGCCTCCAGGGTGGAAAGCAAAGGGTGACTGGCCACAGAGATAGCCCAGTGGAAACTCTCTACTTTGGACTGTCACCTGATTCAGATTTTCAAATTGCTTGACAGCCTGCCAACCAAATCCTAACATTAATTAAGTAAATATCACTCTCTCCAGGTGATATTTGGTGAGAGGATCCAGACATCTGCAAACATTGCTTACAACAATAATGTCATATGCATGGTCCAATCTACATTCAAAATAGCATGCTACCTGCATCCATTAACTAATTAACACTTTCAGCCACATAAATGCACTGTACATCTATCAGTTGTTCACTTTTGGAGGAAATACATGCAAGAAATTGCTGGAGACTGAACTTGCTGGGGAATGTTTTGAGTTATAGGACTTTTGTCTAAGCATGTGGAGAATTGCGCCCTCTAAACTACTCAAACTGATGTAACATAGAAACATAGAAACAGAGCGAGTCAGAAGGGGTCTCCCGGGCCATCTAGTCTGACCTCCAGCACCAGCCGGCTCTGCTCACGACATGTACAGCTACAGTTTTTCAAATACACCTCCCACCCCTTTAAAAAACAGAATCATCATCATGCCTTTCAACAGGTATGCCTTCAATATCGTTCTTGCTATCTAAGAATCCTCCTAACTCAAGCAAAATTCTCTTGGCTATGGGGGCTGGAGAGGAGGCTCAGTGCCATTTGGGCAAGACCTACTCCTAATAGGGCTCACTAAATTATGCAGTGACAATATGTTGAGCTCAGCCAAGTATGGACAGCAATCCATGATCTGTTTCTTCCAGTGCTTATCTTCTAAAGCAAACAGACTGATCAGAAGTGAGCCCTGTGGCTTTAGTTGTGGAAACATCAGCTCTGCCTGCTGTTGACGTTTCATAAGATTCCTTGACTGTTACCTACCAGTGAAATTTGCAAAGGCAAGAGTGTCATAACAAAGGCATCATATGGCAACTTCCCTCTTTGGAGCAGTCACAAATTACTAGACTCATCCATCGCTTTTTCCTCTTTAAGTCAACAGGAAGGTTCTCTTTGTTGCAGGCAGCGTTGCCTCTGGCATCGCTTCTTCTGCCTGGGACGCAAGCAAAAAATGTTGCTGGAGGGAACTTCTAAGTGGAATAAATGCCTTAACACCAGGGACAAAACCCTCAGAAATGTCCCAGGCATGGCCGCGGAGGAAGAGCGAGGCAGCCTGCTCGCAGCTCAAAGCAAGCAATCACAGCTCACAAACGCAAAGCAGAAACATGCAGCCAGGTATGTCAGAAAGCAACCTTACCTGGTAGAAAGAAGTCTTCTGCGGAAGGAGCTTTCTTCCACTTGTGCTGCCTTAAAATGCAGAACTGCAGTGAAGGGAGTGCCCTGGCTGGCAGCGTTATAAGTTTCCCCTGCTGGTGTATTGGGATGTGCAACTGGGTGGTGTCCTTTCACTGTGTTTTGGAAGAGTTTCTATGAATCAGTCTGGCTCTAAAGTAGCGGGAGGTTGGAATTAATACACTACTACGCCCAGCTTACTTGGCAGTGAGCCAGACATTGCTGGGTGGGAACCAGAACTTGCAAAGCCTCCTTTTCTTTGTGACTCAGTGTAAGAAGGGTGACCTCCAGCCTTATGAGTAAGGGGGGGGGGGGGAGAGAGAGAAAGAAAGTGAGAGAAGGCACCCAGTCTACATCTGTTTAAACAGACCTGAGCCCTGGTTGCCAACCATAAAAAAGGGGGAAATGCCTGGTTACCAATGTGGCAACAATGCAAAGGAGACCCAGTGTGTACAAACAGAGAAGAGACTGCTCAGATACAGGGTGGTGATGTCCTTATGAGTCACTCACCAACACCACCCCGCCACCATGTAAGGAATGTTGGCTATTCAGAGAGAACAGCACTCAGGATACCATGAACTTTGGCTTATTGGAATGCCAGATAATCCAACGGCAGGGCGTGCCTGCTGCGAAGCTCATGGTGAGTATGGAGAGACCGGCTCGTGTCCATCTTCTGAAGGCAAGTGTGCCTACAAAGCACTGGTGCTGTGGGAATGATATCCTTGTGTGGTGCACCCAGACCAGGGGGGCTTCAGCCCATGAAGTTCCCCTGCTGTCCTCAGGTTTGCAGGCCTGAACAAGATGCCCTCAGTTTGCCCTCCCTCAGCTCACTTTTTTGGAAGGCAGCCACCCATTTTGGAGAGCTGGCAGAGGATAGTCCTCTGTTTGAAGGTGTCCTGAAGGGCTGGATTAATGCCAAATAACCAAAAGGAGGGCTTGTCTGCAGGGGCCTTGAAGTTGCCCATCTACACTCAGCACCTGGACAGCAGACAAAACAGGCAGGCACAGTTCAGCCAGTTGCAGTCTTTGTCACCACAGTGAGATGCATTGCATTTCCATTAAACTGACCCTCTCTGGGGACAATGTGTCCGTGCCACCAGTGACCATTTGTTTGCCTTCTCCCTTGGGCCCCATACCACACAGCTGCTCAGAGAGAGAGAGAGAGAGAGAGAGAGAGAGAGAGAGAGCACAAGGCCCGTGGATGGTGGAGCTCCATCTTCTCCCTCACGGCACTGCTTGGTTTCTCCAGGAGCACAGATGAAAAGGCAGCGGCAAGGTGGGAAAGTGGCACAGCCAGGAGCCACTGGGGGTTGCAACAGGCCTGTGTGAGCTTGGCTGTCATGGTGGAACCAGCAGCAGCTTCCCTGTAATGAGAACTCTGGAAGATTTCCTTAGCTAATTGTTAATAAGTTACGACTGAGAGAGAAAGGATGGGAAGTTGACAGTCCACTGGCCTAACTGGGCCTGCAGAGTTTCCCCATCTGGACCATGGGGGCTTGTGGACCCCTCCCCAAGTCCTCTCCTGGAGGCTGCCAGGCATTTAGTGCAGAGCTGCTGTCTCCAATCTCACAGAATAGTCAGGATTCCCCTCTCTTAGCACACCACTTCTCCTCCACATTGGGGAGGGAGGCCTTCTAGTTGTTCTCCTGCCTCTTTTATCTACAAGCCTCTGTAGGGTGCGACACCAGATGGAGGAATGCTCTGCCAGCTTAGACCTTGGCTAGAGAGGCTTCACTGCAGGGTGGTCCAGAACACAGGCCATGGGCTCCATGCAGCCCCCAAGGCCTTGTTGTGCGGCTCTCTTGCCACCTGAAGCCCCCATTCCCCCTCCAGGTTGGGTCCCAGCAATGGCATGGGCATGCTTGCAGCAAGCTCTCCCGAGGCCGCTGGCCCATCCCACTTTCTTCCTGAGTCTCAGGGAAGAGAGTGGGTTGGGATGGCGGCCTTGGGAGGGCTCGCCCCAGCATACCCGTTCCGCTTCAGCTGAAGAGCGCCTTTGCTTGGGCTGCGGTTGGAGAAGGAACTGCCTGTGATTTTGGCAGAGATCACAGGCCCACAAACTGTTCTTTTTCATTCAGTTAGGGTTCCCCAGCTCTGAGACCTCATATCAGTTTTCTCCCTCACTTAATTGTTAATTAAATATATTCATTTGCATATATTAAATTAAATAACTCTATTGTGAAACCTTTAATGTAATTCACTATCTGCCCCCCAGTTTCCATCTCAAAGTCTTCATGCAGACCCCTAGGTATGAAAAGTTAGATCACCCTGCTTCACTGGGTACAGGATTTCCCCAGCCAGGAAAAGTTGGGGCACATCTTAGCAAGTCCAGGAGCTCCAGCTGGCACTTTGGCTTAAGACTAAATGCTTCCAGGTGGGACCACACAGCCCTGATCCTCTGACTCCCCACTGCACCCCAAACAAGTTTGCCACCCCTCGCCTATGAGGAAAAGCATTGCATCATTTCCTATTTCACTTCCCTAAGAAGATTTTAACCATTTAGAGTTTTAACGGACCTTGGCATGTGCCCTATGATACTGACCCCTGGTGCAAGTCTTCTTACCTGTCTACAGCTTTGACAGAGACCTGTCTGGGACAGAAGGAGAGAATCCAGGCAGGATAGCTGCCTTTTGCTTTCTAAGGGCTGAAGAGACTTGTTTCTGAGGAACATTCCTTGTGCTGAGCTTTACAAGCAGAACTCCCTTTTATGATATGAACACATGTTAAGATTTGAGGAGCTCATAGTTTATAGATGGATGTAAGAGTGGGCCTTCTCAGAACATATCCATAAATTCCCTGCAAGGTTTCCTTTGCCTTCAAGAAGAATGATGAGAGCTGCCTTGGGATTCTATACTATTGTGAAAGGGAGAGTAAGAAGTTCATTGAGGATGAGGGGGTGGGTGAGCTTGTCTATGCAACAAGATGCACTGAGGTGCCATCAACACTCTGAAAGAGGGAACATGACAGTTAGTAAGGCCAGCATGATATCAGGAGATGAGTCTTTAAGCCTGGTCTCTCTTCCTTAAAAGGGAAGTGTTGCCAGGCCTGATTTAGTGCAAAATGGTAATGCAAAAACAAGAGCAGCTCCAGTGCAGACATTTCCATTGCCTCTGGAAGTGACTGAAGCCTTGGACTGGTGTATCAGCCATTCCCAGTGTGAAGTCATGGAGGACAGGGAAAGGGCCAGATGACTGGAGAAGGGATACTCTTGTCCCTATCTTCAAGAACGGGGAAGAAGAAGAATTTGGGAACTACAGACCAATCAGTCTGACATCAATCCCTGGGAAAATTCTGGAGCAGATTATAAAGTAATCAGTCTGCAAACACCTTGAAAACAATGCAGTGATGATTAGAAGCCAATATGGATTCCTCAAGAACAAATCCTGCTAGATAATCTGATTTCATGTTTTGATCAGGTAACCTCCCTGATGGACTGTGGGATGCTGTGGACAGAATCTATGTTAACTTCGGCAAAGATTTTGACAAAGTGCCCCCTGATCCCTTGATTAGCAAACTAGCTAAAGTGTGCTAGATGGAACAGTGATCAGGTGGATCCACAGGTGGCTACAGATTCAGACTCAAAGAGTGCTCATCAGTGGCACCTTCTCATACGGGGGGGGGGGGGGAGTTAACAAATGGAGTACTGCAGGATTCAGTCCAGAACCCAATGTTCTTCACCATTTTTTATTAATGACCTGGATATAGAAGTACAGGGGACAAGTATCAGTTCTGTAGATGACACAAATCAGAATGGGACAGCTAATCCCCTAGAGGCATTCAAGATGCAACTGGACAGTCATCTGAGAGGGATGGTTTAACTTGGAGTCCTGCACTGAGCAGGGGGTTGGACCCAATGGCCCTCTGGCCCCCTCAAACTTTATGATTCTATGTCTCCCAGATGGGTAGGAGTACCAATGCCATCATGCCTACCCAGCTCAGATGATGGGACCTCTAGTCCAACAAATTGGAAAGGCTCCAGGTTGGGGAAGGCTGGAGATCTGCATGCTAACATACAAACAGTATAAATCCTCCCCTCTCCACTCCCCAAACCAGTTCTAGCTCTATAGTTCTCTTTCTCTCTGGCTAGTTACCAAATAAATATGTGTAGAGATCATGTGAATGTTGGCTTCACAAAGTCTGTCCTCATTTGACTCTGAAATGCAGGATGCAATGAATAGCAGCACGGACAGAAGGATACAAGCAGTTCTGGCAGGACAATCCCAGAAAGGTCAGCAAACTGGCTGGAAAGGCCAACTGTGGTCTATAAACAAGGAATCAACTAGCCATGTATGTGACAGTTTGTCACAGTAACATGTATTTGACTTGATATATTATATATCACAGAAACATTGTTGTTGTTGTTAGTTGCGAAGTCATGTCCAAGCCATTATGACTCCATGGACAACATTCCTCCAGGCCTTCCTGTCCTCCACCATCCCCTGGAGTCCACTTAAGCTCACGCCAACTGCTTCAGTGACTCAATCTAGCCACCTCATTCTTTGCCATCCCCTTCTTCTTTTGCTGTCAATTGTTCCCAGCATTAGGCTCTTCTCCAGTGAGTCCTTCCTTCTCATTAGGTGGCCAAAGTATTTGAGTTTCATCTTCAGTATCTGGCCTTCTAAAGAGCAGTCAAGGTTGATCTCCACTAGGACTGACCAGTTTGATCACATTTCAATCCAAGGGACTAGCAGGAGTCTCCTCCAGCACCACAATTCAAAGGCCTCAATTCTTTGGTGCTCAGCCTTCCTTACGGTCCAACTTTCACAGCCATACATTGCAACTGGGAAAACCATCGAAACATAGAACTGGAAGGGGCCAAGCAGGCCATCAGCTCCAACCCCCTACTGTTGCGGGGCACCGATTTACACCATCCCACTCAGATGGCTGTCCAAGGTGAGTAAGTGGTGAGGAGAGAGCTAAATCTACTCTGAATATCAACATACAGATCCTTATCCTACTCAGGCACATGTCTTCAGGGCATGGCCTTTCCAGAGCAGTGAGAGGAGGGCTCTTAATTGTTTTCTCCTCCTCCACTGCTTTCCTCCAGTCCTCTCTTGCCACAAGGCTTCCCTCAGCATGGGTTTCAGGTGTGGGTTTCTGTTAAAACATGTTTTCAGTCCTGGGCTGAAGGAAAAACAACT